ATCACGTGAAGCCTTTTTGAAAAGTTTTTATTGCATTTTTGAACGAATCATGAAATCGCAATTTTTGAAATTTGAGCAGTGGCGCAGCAATAGGAGTCTTTAGACCGAGCTAACCATATTATAATATTAAAATGTTTTATTATTTCAATTATTATTTAGCTAGATAAATACATTTGAAATTCGTGCAACACACAAATCTATATACAAATATATTTTTTAAGTTTTTTTTCCAAGTACCGTTTTATTCTAATTTTTTTCTTACACTAACTAATTATGTTAAGTATTATTAATTTAAAAAAGGTTTAAAGCTTTAACTATTAATTTAAATATTTGCATTAAGTTTTGTCAATATTTATATATATATATATATTTGAATACAATCATTTTTCATTTGGTATTCTCGATTCCATCTTGTTTGTTATCGTTTTTAATTTCTTTCTGGGTTCCTGAAAACACATTGGGATATTGATTCTTCTTTTGTATGTTTTTTTCATAGCTATTTCACCACAATCTTGTAAGTATTCTAAATACTCTGCTTTTGAATAATCGTTATTCTCCACCAATTTAATTGTGTTTCTAACAATCATCTGTGAGAATGAATTGGTCAGACGTGGAAACTATATATATTAAATACCTGTATATAAATAAATGTCAATACTTACTTTAGATTTCAATGCTACTACAAGAGCAGGTAATACTTTTTTCCCAAATTCGTTAATTCGAGTTGGAATTTCATAGGTTTTGGTTCGTGAAATTCTGCATATGTAACCGATTGGTGAATCTAACCGTAATAGCATCATTATCATTCCTAATATTCACCCAGGAAAAAAAGGTTAGCAATCATATCTAGTGAAATCAACGACATGTAAATTCCATGCTTTTTCTACAATACCAGAATGGATGAATGCAATTGTTTCAATTTTTCTGACTTTATCTTCTTCATAATTGATGTATTTGCACAAGTTACAATATTGATCTTTTAGCATTTTTGGTGCCTTCAAACCTCTTTCCTTTAGTAACTTTGTTGCATTTTCACCCTCAAAAAATTTTCCGATTTCTGCACATCCGTATTCTTTGTGACCTTTCCTAATTAACATGTCACCACGACTGCCCATAGATTTGCGTCTTAAAGATTCAACAGCAGGAACTGTTCTATGTGTATTTTTACGTTCAGCAGAAGCAATACTGGAAGATTCTCCCCTTTACCAATAAATCAATTGAATATAAATAATAAAGAACAGTTTACAAAATACAAAGTAACACATCACCTTACCTAATTATTTCAACCTCATTTAGATCTTCAAATACTTTATCAATAAAACTCCATAGATGTATTGTATACCATGCTTCAAGATGGTTTTTTGCGAAGCTTTCATTTTCATATTCTCTTAATCTATAAAGTGAAATAGAATTAATTTTATTATAGGAGCTAAAATATTCAATACTGCTGAACAATATTTACAAATTATAAGCAGCGTTCTTGATCCAATCATGATCAAAGTGTCTCGATCTTTCGAAATTTTCATTAAAAGCTTCGCTATTATTAACCCGCTTTCTCAAATCCAAAATATTGTCCTATTTTTGATTGTGTACATAAAGATGTTATAAAATAAGATACTCACAAGAACAAAATTAGAATGCCCAATATATAATTTATCATAAAACATGTTTACTATATTGTAACTTTCTATGTATTCCAACAAGTCAGAAGAAATCTTAGGAGTCGGTTTCATTTGAAACTCTTTTATTTCCTCGAGTTCTTCCCTCGTGAAAACGTTTTGGTTTATATAATTTTCGTCATTTGGATCAATTATCAACGAGTGCGCCAGACTATGAATGTACACGTTAAAACTAATCCATAGCAACGGCAATGCTTTATTAATATTAAATTTAATAAATAATACTTACTGCTCGTATTTACATTCGATTCCGAATTTATATAGTCTATTTTCTACTACCGTTCCGGTAGATAATTTCCATTTATTTTCCTCTTTCATCGAAGAAAACTTATGTTTGAAACTTTCGTAGTCCTCTTTCAAGAGTTTTGTCTCTGGTTTTTTTATATTACTATTGAATTAAAAAGAGTAATGCTAGTTATAATATTAGTGAGAACTTTAAATTTTTAAACTAGAGTAACGACGAGTGGTGGGCGATAACCACCACCACCATCCTTAAAACATTTACCCATATGTACTTTTATTATTATTTTGATTGCTTTTTTTATTTTTTTTCTCATTGAAAGACATCTTTACAAATGAAAAAAATGAAAGATGAAAGTTTATTTAATTGATCGACGCGTACACACTAATTATTTATCCTATTGGTTTTTTTTTTTGGTAGGACACACACGAATTGTTTTTTTTTTTTTTTCTTTCTTGGAAAAACAATTTATTTTTTGACAGAGTCCAAGGTGACAAAACGTGAGTGTTGTTGTTTGGTTTGGCTTGGGTCTCCTAAAGAAAACATGTTAATAACTAACCAGAAGTACTATTTTTTACTTGTATTGATTGATATTTTGGTTATTATAAACTTTTTAATTGGAAATCAAATGCGGAGCAGATCTTGCTGGGTAATTACAGATTTTCATTGATAATATTGATAATATTTTGCTTTTCGTGATTATTAATATTATTAATAATAATATTATATTATTATAATCACAGGATGTCAAGGCAGCACGCCATTGAATATGAAACAATTCGATATACGATGTTTGATTATTGGAAATTGGCAAGTGTTGAAGCACGCACGCTACCTTGAACACATTACAGTCATTCTCACATATTCCTCGTGTACATAAGGCTAATCTGACCTGCACCGCCCGATGATACAATGATGCAATTAGAATTCCAGGGGGATGAGGCATGGCCCTGGAGTTTACCAAGACTGCATCAATTGTCAATGACGCTTTCACTAATCTTCCCTCACCAGAGATGGCCGCTGGTACGCTAGACAAAAAGTTGCTTGCAACGATCCTACCTCTAGGGTAAGGATGGCACTGTGATCAAGTCGCAACTCTGCTGATGAATTGTAATATTAGGTGCACATAAACATCCAGATCCAAAGCAACGAGAATCTGCAACTTGTCTCAAGCACAGGAGGTCACAATTCAGAGCAGGGTTGGTGGCCCTGAAATTGCATTTGGGCTCTGATGTTAAGAGGAAAGTCGTAAAATAGTGTTTGTTTTGTATAATCATTTTCATAAATGCTCTGTTTTTTTGATATTAACCAATTTATGATTTTGGGTACGGGACTGGATTGGGTTTTTGCCCAATAAGTCCTCTGTCCTGTAGATTAAAATTATCACACGATTATATACATCCTTGTCAGCAATATGGCCAACAAGGAAAAAGTTATAAAAATGGTTCAGATTTTGTTTGGTACGTTCCATATAAATTAATCATTTTCATAAATACTCTGTTTTTCTTTAATTTTTGTCTGACCAACTGAATTTGTTATTTTAGTAAATGGGGGTAGGGTTGTTGGTGAGTAGGCATGCCACTGACAAGACAGGGGATGCCTTTGGGATGTACCAGTTAAACTTGTAGAAAGGGATTCTTTGTCCAGGCTTAGGGTCACATGGATGTTAAGCACAGAAAATGTACACTATCAATGTATGTTTTTTTCAACAAAATAAACATTTAAATAATTAATTGTTAAATGTTAATAATTTTCTTTTCATAAAAATTACAGCAACCCAGGACTCAAAACTCTGAATTCAGGGAAAATCCAAAACAGCAATCCAGGTTGCAGCCTCCAGAGTTGCTGAATTTTTAACCAGTCTTAACACCAACTTTTATTCTAGTGTGACAATAACACAAAGCAATCATCACACATCACACAAATGTCAACTCTCATCAGCAATCAATACCCATATGGTGATGCCAAGCCTAGTTTGGGGGGAGATAAGGGAAAGTTTTGTCCAAAGCCTTCCAACATGTTTAAGTCCACTACACCCGTGGAAAAAATTCCATGGTGCTGAATTGCGCTTGCGCTGTCTTGCATGTATGTGATAGGAAAGTTTTAATTAAATCTGACACCTGTGATCAACATCAGATTTATTATTCATGAGCAACCATGATTGATAATCAGGAAGAGTAATTTATTATTGTGAATCTCAGAGATATGGGTAGACATGCATTATTAAGAGTTTCATTTTTGCATGGCCTTGGTATTATCATTACCTGGGTGATGCAATTGTTTGTTATGTCAATGATGAT